TGACAAGAAAAAAAAAAAAAAAGATTTCCGTTCAAAAAGTTTTTTCCAAAAAGTTCCATCCAATAAAGGGGATAGTACGTAAAAAATTAAAATGAAACAAAAGAAAAAGTGAATAAAACAAAAATAGTTTTCTGCTAAGACTTTTACGTCCGATCAGAAAAAAATACAAATGGCGGCTAAAACCGAAGTAAAAACTGAAATTTAAAAAAAAAAAACAGAAAAAGGGGGGAAAAGCATAAAAATTTCAATTCAAACAAAAAGAATAAAGGAAACTTAACTGAAAATAACTTAACAAAAAGTATTTCTGATCAAAAAAGTTCATTAGTTCAAAGGATAAATTGCAAACGTTCTTCACCGGCCTAAAAATGCCAAAAATGATATTGTAAACTGCTTTTGCTGCCTGCCACCTTTAATTCCCACATTGCCTTAAGTTTCTAGTCCAAAGAAAAAAAAAACCAAGCGAGTAATAAAGATAACCCGTACATAGCTCAATTCGCTAAGTAAAGTAGCGAATATTACCAGCAATACATTTTTGGAAAAAAATATTAACACCAATAATAATCAAATATATATATATATATATATATATATATATGGTTTCTTTGTTTTGTTTTACGGCATATCAAACTCAATGGATTATTTAATGCCGACAAGATTTTTATTGCTGTAAATATTTTTTTACAAGAATTGTATTGCTGGTAATATTTATTTCTAAAAATGTATTGCTATTAATAATGTATTGCTGGTACTAAAACAATTTTTGCACCTTCATAATGTTTTGACCCCAGTTTTTGGGTTAACTACTTGCCCATAGCTGGGACCCTAATAGGTGCTATCAGCCCGGGTCAGAGTGGACCTGGGAACACCAGCAATTGAAAGGTAGTTCTACGTTCCTCAAAATGTCCTGATCAGAGGCTTTGCTGTCGGATGTAGTTTATCGTCTTAACCAGGATGCGGATGTAGTTTATCGTCATACCCAGCGGTATATATATATATATATATATATATATATATATATATAACAGGCCGGTTAATAAAATTTGAAGAATAAAAGCCAACAAAATAATACCAATATTGTCAATAAAATTGGTATTTATTAACCTTTTGGCTGAACTGAAGTACGAAGAAATGGATTTTAATGTCGGAATTTTCAAACACGCCTGTGTTCTTTTTCAGCGATATGAGGAATAAACAAAGAAGTGTGACTTTCTCGAGGAATGTTGATCGTTAAAGGTCTCCCTGTGGAAATTATACTCTACAAGTAAACACAAATCTGTTTAATCCCTCAATGTTTGAATTTGTTTTGAAAATAAATTTCAACTCCGATCTGCATCTTTCTTCTCGACTTGTGAATGAAAACGCTAAAAGCACGCATCTGTTGTCGTCGACGAAATGGAATTATTGGTTGAAGTGTGCAGCGACAGGATAATTGTTGTCCTTGATGGTTTTTATGATTATTTAACCGGAGACGGAACTCCGTTCCAGATTTTCTAACATAATTTCCTTTTTAGCATTTGTGGTAAAAGAGCAAATATATAAGATTTGAACTGTCGCAGTTAAGAGCCGGTGGTTTGAATATTCCGTGTGCGCCAGCGGTGTGAAATTGCTATCAGTGATGATATGACTAGACACTTGGCATCGGGTTTTATCGCAGGTGACAGTCCCTTGATGAGGTGGTGAATGATCCCTGATGAAGTTAAGAGTTTGTGTGTATGTTGGAGGTGGATCTGACGCCTAGTAAGAAGTGGGTTTTCGCTGATATTTTATAATACTGGAAATAGTTTGTTAAGATATGGGAAAAAAGCTTGTGAATGTTGTAATTAAAATTAAAAAAAAAACATGAGAATTCTGGAATTATTATTATTTTTTTTTATAGGAGCGTATTTCTATTTTGCTTGGAAGCCTTAGTAATTCATTTTTTATAGTTTTAAATGGGAAATTCCTATTAAGAAAGTGATTGAATAGTTGTCCTGTGCGTTTTTTGTAATTCATATTTTGTAAACAGATACGTTTTATACGTAAACATTGGCTATAGATTATTGATCTTTTCAGGTTATGGGTGTGGCAGCTGTTGAAATTTATGTAGCAATGACCATCTGTGGGTTTGGTGTATGGTGTAGTTGAAATGTGGTTATTATTTAGACGTACCAGTACATCCAGAAACGGAATATTAAATAGTGGAATATTCGACTGTGAATTTAACATTGTGGTGGAAACTGTTGAGGTATTTTTTAAGGTCTCCGATATTGTTCTCCCCGTGTGTTCATATAAAGAAGATACCATCTATTTATCTGTGGTAATGTAGGGGGTGGTACGTGGTAACAACTAAACATATCTTCTTCCAGGGCATCTATGAATGTGTACGCCTAGTTGGCAGCCGAAACTAGTCAAGGAACCTAATTGAAATCATAAAACAAAAAATATTAATATACAACCCAGTGTGTACGAAAATTTTAAGTTTTTAATTTTTCAATATTTTTATTGTTCAAAGCACGCACACACACATATATATATATATATATATATATATATATATAATCTGTTGGTACATGATCCCAGCGAATCCTAATAATATAAAATATTAAAACTGATCCATAAAAAGGGCTCAATGTTTATATTATAACAGAGCATATAAATTACAAAGAATAGAAATCCAAATTTACCTCATTCCAATAGCTATTTCAACCAACAAGTCGTTGGCATTGTCAACTCAGAAGTGTGAAGGAATAAAGTAGGAACTTAAAATGTAAACATTTAAAAAAAAGAAAAAAGAAAAGAAAAAGAAAAAAGAAAAAGGAAAAAAGAGAGAAAGAAGAAAAGAAAGGAAGCAGGAGAACCTGATGAATATGTAGACATTAAGTTAACTCAACCCTCAGTAACATTGGGAGGGGGAGGTGGAAGTTCCTGGCTTTAATAGAGACAGTTAATATAACCATGACCTATATTTTAAAATATTAACATCCCAAGTCAGGTTGAAGATGAATCATAAAATTACAGGAGTTCAAACAATTTTAAAATTTAAAATAGAAAATATTAGTTATAAACCAAAGAACAAAAACTATATTTTCTCCTTTTTTAGAAAAAAATTCCCAAATCTATACTAGCAAAAAATATAAGAAAAATAATAATCATAAATAGAAAAAGAAAAAATAACTGAAAAATATTTAAAATTAGGAAGATTTTTAAAAAATAAGAAAATGTAAAACGGTAAAATCTAAAAATAAAAAAATAAAATAATAATAAATAAAATAAAAATATATTAAAAATGATAAAATGATAATTAAGAAACAAATAATAATAATAATATAAAAGAGCAAGATGATAAATGAATGGGAAAAGTAATGAAGGTAAAAATATAATAAAGGTAAAAAATAATAATGAAAATAAAATAATTTTGCCAAAGACTTGTTGGTTGAAATAGCTATTCGAATGAAGTAAATTTGGATATATATTTCTAATATATATATATATATATATATATATATATATATATATATATATATATATATATATATATATATATATTTATATTTTGAACAATAAAAATAGTGAAAAATTAAAAACTTAAAATTTTCAGACATACTCAGTTTGTATATTAATATTTTTTGTTTTTATTATTAGGTTCCTTGACTAGTTTCGGCCAGTATGGCCATCATCAGGAAAAAAAAGGTTCCTGCTTGTTAGTAGCAGTGAACTACAGGAATGAATGAATTTCTGAAAAAAATGAATTTTATCTGTAGTTTTCATTTGTTTTTCTTTTTTTTATCGTTAATTTTGGTCAGTCCTTGTGTTGGTCTAACGGCCTCTTTTAAATTGTTTTTAACATAGTGGCTCGATAGATTTATGCGACTCTGAATTCCCTTGGTCATTTTGACAGTTTTATTGGTTCCTAGTACAATTAATATACAACCCAGTGTGTATGAAAATTTTAATTTTAAAATTTTTCAATATTTTTATTATTCAAAACACACACACACACACACACACACACACATATATATATATATATATATATATATATATATATATATATATATATTACATAGAACAGATATCAAATTTACCTTCTAGGAAAGGGATGTGTTTGGGTTAAGTGTATGTCATCATTTAGTTCTTCGGGAGTCTGTATAATGTGTGTAAGTGTATATATTAGTATGGGTTTTTGTATAAGTGTAAGACCTCAACACCTCCGCAAGCATGTCTGTCTCGTGTGTGTGAGAAATGTGGGTAGGGGTTTATTTATGGGGTTATATCTTAATTCTATCTATGTTGTTAAATTTATGATTAAGCTCGTCCAGATAGAGTGTTTTGAGGCGCAAAATCCATTTGTCTTCATGGTTTTCTAGAATTTTTCTAATGTTCTCTTTTCCCTCTTTTTCTGTTTTTTTCAATTATAGTGAATTTGGCATGGCTTTTAAATTCATGTTTTTCTAGGCGGAAATGTTGTTCTACAGGTAATAATCTTTCGTGGGAAGCCTACTTATTTCAATTACGATAATTATTAATTCTGTAGTGAATGGGCCATTCAGATTTTCCTACATATTGTTTCTGGCATAGTGTGATTTCTAGGAGGTAAATTATGGTATGACTTCTACAGTTAGAGTTGTGGTAGATTTTGAAAGTAGATTTAGTGACTGAGCTAGTGAACGAATTGGTGTGTCTGATGTTGTTACAGCATAAGCTCCTTTTGTTGTTACATGGTTGGGAAAATCCTGTTGTTTTTATTTTTGGTCTATCACGGATTACCTTATCCTTAGAAATGTGGTTACTACCTATAATTTCCTTAAGGTTCTTAGGTCTACAATATGCTAGAAGGCCAGGTTTCGTGAGGCTGAGGAGAATGACGATGATGCAAATAATGATATTGACGACAATGATGATGAAGATGATGAAGATAACGGTGAGGTCAATGATGATGATACAATTATTAAAACACTAATGAAAATTGAGTGAGGATATTTTCTCCTTTACGCTCTCTTAATTCACTCTTCCTCTTTGAGCCTCCCTTTCCCTCTCTATCTCTTTCCCTCTTTCTTTCTCACTCTCTCTCTGTTTTTCTATTTCTCTCTTTGTCTCTCTCCTTTTCTCTTTCTCTTTGTTTTTTTTTCTCTCTCTTTGTTTGTTTGTTTGTTTGTTTGTTTCTTTCTTTCTTTCTTTCTTTCTTTCTGTCCCAGTCTCTGACACGCTTGCTCGATCGATCGATCAGTTGTTCAATCAATAAAATAATCCGCCTAAATATCTTTTACTACGATTTCTCCGACTCAAATTCCACCTCTCTCTGACAGAGAGAGAGAGAGAGAGAGAGAGAGAGAGAGACCCTACTTCCACGTTTATTCCCCTTACTCAATCTCTTTTTCATACTGTCTCTCTTTTTATCCCCATTTTTCTTTCCTGCAGGACTCATTACGCTCTTCCACAAACATTGTTTTTCTATTTGGTCAATGCCGTCAAGCATTGCGACTATCGTATGTAACGGTATTAAAGACACACTGGCTAGGAGGGAGGGGTCATAATAGATGCAGTCCAATTCCAGCAGGGCATATTCAGGAATAAAGTTTTTAGTGTATTTTCAGCGCCTACTCGTACATTTTGTCTTTCATGCTTTAATCATCTCTTTCCTCCTACATTTCCCATATCCTCTGTTATATTTTCTTATATTTTCTCGAATGCATGCACTTCCTCCCCATTTCCTCCCCTTCCTCTCCCTATCCCTCGTTCACTCGCTACACTGGTAAATACTAAAAGAAGAAGAAAGATACAATCATTACCATCTTTCTGACATGTTTTACGAGGAAGTGCTGATAAGTTCTCGGCTTGATCAAAACGCCAGTCCATTAAAAAAAAATCTGTTGTTTAGTCAAACTGTGGAAAGTGGGTTGGGACGATAATTTTTCAATCTCCCTTCAAAATATACAGTCTCACATCCATTGCTGGTCTTCTTTGCCTTTCTTTAATGTTTGTTAGTCTGTCTATCGGTGCCTATCAATCAGTTTTTCATATATTTTGTATCGATTGCCACACTTTATTTTATATATCACCCTCTCTTTCTTTCTTTTTTCCAATCTTGCTTTCTTGCTTTCTTTCTTTCTTCTTTCACCCTCGATTTCTTTCTTGCTTTTTCATTCGATTTCTTTATTTCACTCTCGCTTTCTTTATTTATTCACTCTCCCTTTCTTTCTTTCTTTCTTTATTACACACTAGCTTTCTTTCTTTCTTTCTTTCTTTCTTTCACGCTTAATTTCTTTTTCATACATGAAGATAGATATTTTTTCACAATCAATTTATACTTCTCTTTCTTTCTTCTCTTCTCTTTCTCTTCCTGTGTTCTTCTCTCTCTCTCTCTCTCTCTCTCTGTCCTATTCTCTCTCTGTCTCTCTCTCTCTCCCTCCCTGGGACAGACTAGAATAGAGAGGACTGAAATGAAACGAAGATATTTTATTCCCTCTAATCTTTCGACTTGATTAGAAATCGATCGATTGACGTGTTTTGTTTGTATAAACATCATACCTAATACGATGTTTTTCGTCTGTACGCAAAACCACATAATAGCTAAAGGTGAACATAATCTGGCACAAGGGTACAAATACTGGGCACTCAGTGTATGTGTTTTGTATATTTTTTACGTCTTAACAACCCTTTGTGGGTTATTTTAAGCCGAAACATATTTTGGATTGTAAGCAGTCGCTTACAGTACGCGGTGTTACCAAGAGGTACCCCATCTAAGTAATGACTGGGCTCGACACTGTTTAACTTCAGTGATTGAACGAAAACCGGTGTTTTCAGCGTGATTAGAGCGTAAGAAAACTTAGTGTAAACAGAACTACAGTTGTAATGATCTGCTTAGACATTTTAGTGATCACAACTCCACGGCGAGGTATCTGCACAGGTAGCTGCATGTATTATTAACTGTAATATGTTTATCTGTTTCTTGAGGAGGTTAGTGTTGTTGTTTGTTTCTTCTTCTTCTTCTTCTTCTTCTTCTTCTTCTTCTTCTTCTTCTCTGTGCAGTATCCATTTAGGACTTGGCGAACAAGGCCCTCCAAAAACTTCTGTCCCTCATATTAAGGTTTGTCTCGTTACCAAACCTCTCACTACCCCCGTGTTCCGCCATCCATTTACACACCCTCGTCAGTTTAGGCGTCCCTCTCCCTTCTCCTATCCTTTTTCCTTTCGGTATGTCCTGTAAGTGTCAAATTCTCCAAGTCCTCTTTTCTCATTATGTGTCCTGAAAATTTCAGCTCTCTTCTTGAATCTGAGAATAAGTGTCTTTTTTTCTTTTGTTTCAATTTCGCTTCAGTTTTCCTTCGTTAAAACTTGTTCGTTGCTTATACGCGCTGTCCATAGGATTTTCAACATCCTTCTGTAGAAACACATGTTGCTTCCAGTTTACTTATGGATTTAGCTTTGTTATCGAGAAGAGGGTCTAGTTTTGCGTTATTGTCGGTCTTGTTTAAAGTTACAGAAATGCTAAATTTATCCTTCTTCCGAATCACAGCACTTTTGTTATTTCTAGGTTCAGTCTAGTCTTGCCTTAATTCTTTGATTAAAAGTTGGGTACATCAAATTTTGATGAGTTCAGTATTAAGTAAGTTTCGAAGTTCTGTTGTGACGTTTTTTTGTAGAATTTCGGTTTTTTTATATTATTGTTGGATCAGCCTAAGTTATCGGAAACTTCTTGTTGTCGTAACGAGAGTTCGATCCTAGGTTGTGGAATTTCTTTAGATGTTTGGTAAGTTGGGGATTAAAGAGATTTATAAAGCTGCGTAAGGAATTAATGACTGAGGCAATCTAAAGTATTCGAACAAAAATATAAACTTTAGATACTTTATGCTAAAATTTGATTTGAATGCACAACAATTAATTCGCAAATTAGTAAAATATAACACTGAAATTAAGCAGGTAGAGCTTGTCAGTTGAATTTAATAAAACTGAATTTTTATTGCTATTTATTTATTTTACCTGCATTTGTTTTATAATCACATGGCAGTTCATAACAAATGACCTCAGGCAAGTGAAGAATATGATGTTTTTGTTTTGTTCACTTAATTAAAAAAACTGCGATTAAAGAAAAACTTAAATGGACAAAGCTCTTCGTGGGATATGGGCTGTGCTTGGATTTTCCTGAGAGATGGTGCACCATGGATATTGTTGATTTGTTGTTGAGCTCCTTTCTTTATCAGACCCAAATCTCCAACTATAACAGGAACAGTTTTAGTTTGTAAATGCCACGTATTTTTTTTTCTATTTTTATCGCCGGGTCTTTATATTTGTTTAGTTTTGCCAAAAACTTTCGCTGAGATGTTTTTGTCACTTGGTACGCTCGTGTCAATCAGTGGGCAATTTTTTTTCTAACTTTGATAATGGTGTCCCTGCGATTTACTTGTATTGTTCGATCTGAGGAGGATGGTAACATCTACTCCATCAACTACAGATTCAGGATGATGTCCATACTAATTTGCGGTTGTTTTTCTCCTTTTAGTGATGACAGATCTTCCAATACAGATATTCACCTACCCTGTCATGACGGTTTTTGTACTCACTGGGTTAGGGTGAGTATTGAGAATCCTGACAAAAGCGGATCAATAGTATCAAAGTATTGGCCACAGGACCTACATTTCAGTCTGTACTTATTATTATTATTATTTCCTTTGATTTCTGGTGTGTGCTCATTTCTTTTTGGGTCTCGACCAGAAACCTAAGTTTAGAAATGGAATCATGATTGACAAAAAAAAAAAAAATTACATCGATAAAGCCCTTCATAAAGTGTTGGCTGTACTTGTCAGAACAATTTTTTGTATCTCTTTGAGGCATGGACTTCCAGGAATCCCTTCAATTAGTCTACTGGAATCTTTTCCAACAAATCCTAGGGCTCCAACTACAACAGGGATGATTGATGTTCCCATGTGCTACATTTTTAAGATTTCTATTTCAAGGTCCTTGTATTTTGACAGCTTTTTGAATATCTTCAAAGATACATTGCAGTCAGCAGGGACTGCCATATCAATAAGCAGGCACTTTTTTTGTTTGTGATCTTTAATAACAATGTCTGGGCGGTTAGCTTTGATTGTTCTGTCAGTGTGTATTGTGTAGTCCCATAGAATTGTAACAGGTCTAATCTCCCAACCGGGTCTGGGTGGTGTTCATACCACTTTCTTTCAGTTTCCTTCCCGAATTATTATTATTATTATTATTATTATTATTATTTCCTTTGATTTCTGGCGTGTACTCATTTCTTTTTAGGTCCCGACCAGAGACCTAAGGTTAGAAATGGAATCATGACATTTTCCACTGGGCAATTAAAAAAAATGATATAGATAAAGCCCTTCGTAAGGTTTGAGCTGTACTCGTGAGAACAATTTTTGTATTTCTTTAAGGTATGCTCAACCAGGAATCCCTTCAATGAGTCTGCTGTGATCTTTTCCAATGAATCCGAGGGCTCCAACTACAACAGGGATTATTGATGTTTTTATATGCCACATTTCTGAGATTTCGATTTCAAGGTTCTGTTATTTTGATAGGTTTTTGAAGATCTTCAAAGATATATTGCAGTCTGCAGGGACTGCCATATCAATAAGGAGGCAACTTTTTTGTTTGCGGTTCTCTAATAACGATGTCTGGGTGATTAGCTTTGATCGATCTGTCTGTGTGTATTGAGTAGTCTCGTAAAATTGTAACAAGTTATTATTATTATTATTATTATTATTATTAAATAAATAGGCAAACTAAAGATCATAACTATAAATATCCTAAAGCACTGACCCTAAACAAATCATTACTTCTTGTAATTTCCCAGGAGTTTGAATATCCCCTTGAAGCATGAAACAGATAATAAAATGGTCTATACGCGATAGAGAGTACTCTTGACCTATAAATATATCACACTTTAAACTATATATGCCCCACACTCAATAAAATTACATTTCAAACTAGTCACAACACAATTCATTGCATTTAGACATATGGTTCTGTTGTTAAAATTTCGTTCTCTCGCGTGGTACGATTTCATAGAAGTGCAACAAGAATTTACGACCCGCGTCTGCTATTCCGCGCCCGTTTTCGTCATAACAATTTTCTATGTCAACATCACAATATCATCTTTCATAGTGAATATTTTTGTTTAAATGTCCATATCTGAAGATGGTTCATGCGAGCCGAAAGCTTAGATAAAGGAACAGCATAATAAAAAAATATCTAAATGTTGGATAATTTTTGTCTTTATTTTCTCCCGAAATTAAAGCAATTATACGGAGTTTAGAACGGTTCATGGTCAAACATAATAGACATTCATTGTCTGTTATATTTAAAAAAATATATATATATATATATATATATATATATATATATATATATATATATATATATATATATATAAACAAACACACATATTCATTAGAAATCAATTTTATTATTTCTTAAATCTATGAGTATTAAATAAAATACAATATATTTATTTAAAAATTATTTGAAAACAAAAAATGGTTATTTTATATAATGGTTTAAAAATTCATCTGCAGTCAATTTTAAAAACAGATGATGTCATCGTTAGCTTTTTGCAAAATTTAAGGAAACTAAGAAAAAGAAAGAAACGGAAGAAAAAAAAATATTTGTTTATATTTTTTCTTCTCTTTCCTGTAGGATAAATTTCAAAAAAGGAAATCCGCGCTAGTTCTGTTTGGTGTTAGCCCCATCTTCCTTTGAGCGTTACATATATATATATATATATATATATATATATATATATATATATATATATATATACATATATATATAATTTAAAAAGGCTCAAACACTAATATTTCATGGTTATAATTTATTACATTGGAATCGTAATCACGATCCAATTCATGAGATCTACAATTTCAATAAGAATAAAAAAAGATTTTCTTTTTAAATTTGTAGTCTGACGAATTGGATTATGATTATGATTCATTTATGGAATATTAGTGTTTGAGCCTTTTATATTATATTCTTGCTCTGTCTTGTACATAGAGCTCTACTTGGATTTATTCTCTTGGATATATATATATATATATATATATATATATATATATATATATATATATATATATATATAATATAATATAAAAGGCCCAAACACTAATATTCCATGGTTATAATTTATTACATTGGAATCGTAATCATAATCCGATTCGTCTGACTACAAATTCAAAAAGAAAACCTAACGTAGCGATGTATTTTTGATAGTCATATAGCAGTTATAGTTATTTTAAGTTCAATTTTTGGATTGGTTGTTGTAGTCTATTCTAACGGTTATTTTTGCGGGATTGATTTGTTAATTTGCTTATTATTATTTACCTTATTTATTTAATTGAGTTGATTATTTTTACTTGTTTTTTGTGAATTTTATATTATTTTATTTTTATTTATTTTATTTCGTCTATTCTGACCGGAATGGTTTGTTAATTTGTTTATTATTTGTTTCGGTTAATTTATTTCACTTGTTTTTATATTATTTTGTTTATTTGCATTTATTCATTTCAGTTTTCAATTTTTAAGTAATGTAGTAAAAATTTGTTTTCATGTCTGCATTTTGAGATGAGCTCAGATCGTTTATTTAGTAATTTATTTTAGTCTGGGAAGGTAATAATATTATTACCTTCCCAGATAAGCATAAATAATCAAAAACAAGTAAAAACAATAAATTCAAATAAGTAAATTAATTAAAAACTGTCCCCCGCCAAAATAACAGAATTAACTACGGTAAGCAATCTAAACACTGACCGAATAAATATATCTTAATTATCTTCCCAGACCAAGACTAACTATTAAATAAGCGA